TTAAGATTTATGCATAAAAATGTCTGAAATTAAATTAAGCAGGTATTAAAATACCACGTGGTCAGGTGAAATATTTTTGATGAACATAGATACCTGGAAATGCTGCAATTGCTACTACATTCATTGGTTCAATAACATGCTTCTCACTTAAAAATGCTTATTATACCCCTTTTAATTGATGTGTTTTGAGAGTTTATTTTCTTGACTTATGTAAGAAGTGTAAGTCTTGCACAATGAACAAGAGAGTTGGATCATAGCAGTCTCCTAGAACAGAACAAGCCTCCAAGGTAAATGCAAAGAAATCATGAAATGGGATAATGTGATGAAAACCAAAAAAAAAAAAAAAAAAAAGGAAAAGGAAAGACAGGGGACTGGAACATTATGAAGTTAAAGAAACAAGGGAATGAAAGGGATTAAAACTGGAATGATAGGTAACCTACTGTAAGTGGTGTGAAAGCTTAACAGTGGGGGACTGGAATAATCAGATATGGGAACGACCTGACAATGGAATGCTTTCAAACTGAAGCACCTCAAAAGTGAATGATCTTACAGCAGAATAATCATATTTGCCTCTGGGAATAAAATTTAAAGATAAAAAAGTTTGAAGAAAAAAAAAGAAAGTTTGATGATTATGCAGATAGAACAGCAAAGAGAAACGATCTAGTAAGGGCATGAGTGGGAAAGGTAAAGGAGAAGAGTTGGGAATGACCACAAAATACAAAGAAAAAGGTAACTGAAACCACAGATGGCTGGAACTCATCACTTCATACACAGAACTGGGGATCATAGAATCACGGAATCCTTAGAGTTAAAAGGGACCTTTAAAAGTCATCTAGTCCAACTCTGAAATGAATGGGAACATGCACAGGTAAATCAGGTTGCCCAGGGCCTTGACCCAGCCTTGCCTTGAAAGTCTCTAGGGACAGGGCATCAACCACATCTCTGGACAACCTGCTCCAATGCCTCACCACCATCACCGTAAAAGGCTTTTTCCTTATATACAACCTACATCTACTCTTTGTAAGCTTGAGCCGCCATAGATCCTGCTAAAGACTCTGTTCCCTTCTTTCCTGTAGCTCCCTTTTATACACAGCAAGACCACTATCAGGCTACCTCACAGCCCTCTCTTCTCCAGGCTGAACAGCCCCAGTCATCTTGCACTTGTAGGAGAAGTGTTCCATCCCTTGGATCATTTCTGTGGTCCTCCTCTGGATGTGCTCCAACACAACACTGGATAAGTTCATTTTCTAATTCATCTCAGATTGACTCTTACTCATGTTCATTTGGACAATAATTCTCATTTCTCACAACCTGACACAATGTTTTCTAAAAACAGCTTTAAAGACGATGGGAAATTTGGCTTCAAAACAATTCCAGTCCTACAGATTTCAGTAAATGAATATAGAGTCTCATGCAAGGTGAGTTTATATGAACTTCCATTGTCAGAAGTAACTCTTCTAAGACTTATCTTTGCTTTTCACTGTACTTTTTAAGTACGTTAAGAAAATAAAATCAACCATCTCTACAATTCTGGAATTTGCTGTTAAAATAAGATATTATTTTTGTAATTCAGTTGAGAATAAGAGGTCAGTTGCACTGTCATCAGTCTACACCCTTATACAGCGTGGAAACAGGCCTCTACCACAGAACCTCATCGGCAGGATATTTTTCTTCCTTAACTCCTTTGCTAACTCCTCCCACACCTTACTGAATGAGCTACGGTGAGTTTTAACAGAGCGATATAATTATATGACAATAACATAACTGTTCTCTACCTTGAGGCTGCATTTTCTCAGTGTAAAATTTTCCAAGTTTTCTAACGACTAATTTCTTTTTTTTTCCTTTGCAGTTCCCATTTTTTATTTATTTATTTATTTATTTATTTTATTTTATTTTATTTTATTTTATTTTTTTTTTTTTTTTTTGCGAAGTGTAGTGAAAAGAAATTGCACCTGTATGCACTTGCCAAAATATGAATGTGTGGACTGGAGATACTGTAGATGCTCTTTTAGTATTCTGCCAACCTGATCCATGCTCCAAAAATGAAGCAAAAAATGGCATTAAGTATTGATTTAAACAAAAACTGTTCAAAATTGATTGCTGACAGATAGTATTAGAGAAAACTGGAATTTTGAACAGTCTGTGTTCACAGTAAGTAACATACTTCCTCAATGAAGAAAGGAATACTTGATGTCCACCTAACATTGAGCTGTCAGGAATTAGATTTGAAGATCAATCAAAGACAAAACTTGTATTTTTAATGCAACACAGAAATTAAATCTAGAATTTGAGATTCTATTCTCTGAGACCAGTGGTATGCTGCAAACTGTACCATGGAATTATAAACTTTCATCAGACTGGAAATGCAAACTGCGAGTCATGCAGCAGAAAATTTCAGATGCTGTATGTAATTACTAACTCACAAGATATTCTAATTACCAAGCCATAGTTACAATGATCACCTAAAACTTAGATCTGCTCAGTATTTTTAACTGTTCAAGTAGTATAAGAAATGGAACATATTATATATAACTACCCAAGGCAAAAACTGGAAAGCTTTTCAAGTATCACTGCCCTAAATACACTGACTGGGATTCACTACCCTCAATCATTCAGATGTTAAACATTTAGCTGAGTTTGTATTCCTACTGTCTTTCTCTGCCAATGATCAGGAACTGTCTTCTAAGAAAGCAGATTCACTCACCTTTATTAAGACATCCACCCACAGATGGAAAGATGATTGCTGTAACTACTCTCACCAAGCTGTTTTTGCAAACCAGACGAAGAACCAGGTACAAATTCAAAGATTGGAAGAATTTCCCCACCTACAGCAAGTAGCTATGGGATTACAGCAACAGAAATGAATTTCTTTGATAGTGTTGTCATGTTTGCAGCATGCAAATACTGTCTATTGCACATGCACGTGCAATCTTTATTATTAAAAAAAATACATCCTACAAAAATAATAATATAAAGGTACCATGATAAGTAAGTTCCATTGCCACATATTTATGTGGTATCAGTGTATTCAGTACAGTGAATTCTAAGGAGGATAGCTTCCTTCTCCAGTGGTACCTTGGTACATTTGCATTCTCTTCCTTCAATCTATCAAGAACTAAGCAACATGTAGACATAATTTTTGAAAGAGTCATTACAGCAAGTCCTGAAATTGCCAGTTTTGACAAATGACATATCACAGAAATGAGAGAGGAAAGCAAAAGCTTGAGTTGGGGTGTAACTCAAGTTATTTGCTTTTTTCATAGGCAAGAATTGCTACAATATGCAGTATTTTAGCTATAAACACAGCTATAAATGCAGCCATATCTACATAATCATATGCATAGATATCTCAGTTTATCCAGAGGAATGCCAGACAGAACACATGATATGTAAACATCTCTGCCAAACACTTACAAAACAACTTTAATAGTAAGTGTCATTCTTCTCTGTAAAATAGCTGTTTTTAACACACATGATCTAACTCTTGTTTGCTCTTTAAAGTTTTATTGTCTTGGCATTTTATACAGGAAGAGAGCATTAGCATACTCAGGAGAACTGCTAAAAGTAAAAGGCCTCAAGCTACCCACTGCATGGTTGATAGCATAAAGCATGGGATATAAAAACTTTTGTCTGATTGCTCACTTTACTTGTTTTAGAGTAGTGTTACTCTCAAGAGCATATATTCATGTTCTTTCTACTTCAAGTTTTATTACTTCTTTTGGATTATTTAATACATCTAAAGACACTTCCAAAAGACAAATTTTTCCATTTTGAAAAAGCAATGGTTTGGAACCTGATAAAATACATTAATGTTCACAGTGTATTATTTTCAAAAGCCAATAGAATAAATGCGCAATAGAACAATTAAATGCTTGACAATAAACACTTCTATATGATCACAGATATATTAACATGCCAAACAAAAGAAGAAAAGCTCAGCAATACGCTTCCCTTAAAAAAGGTCAGATCAAAATGGTTTCTCCATGCATCACAGAGCGAGTAAAAGGAGAGTTTGGTCTCAATTACTGTTACTTCTAAATATCCCATTCCAGAAATTAAAATCAACATTAAAAATGGGTGAGAGAAAACGGAATGAAAAAAGGCAAATCAGATCAGCTACTTTAAGAACAGACCATAACTGTATGCACGCATTAAAAATCATCCTACATGAAGCTTGAACCTAAGTCTACTTAGATATCACACTGCTAATTATTATATAAATAACCTGGGAAACAATACCTCCAAGATACATGTTTTACTATTTAGTAAACAAGAAACTGCCACGTTTGACACCACTGATTAAGGCCAGGCATTTCTAAAGCTTCAGACACATTTCTGAAATCCACAATACATCAATTTTTAATACTTCCACTCTCTCAGCTCCATTAAAAAGATGGTAGGGGAAAGATTTTAGAGTAATTAATGATATAGTTAGCTGCTAAATATTAATAGGAATCGTAGTCTTGCATAAAATATAACATATAAACCTTGCCAATACAGACGCACCAGTAATTAAACTTGAATATGTAATTACACTGATTTATAAGACAGGCAAAAAGTTACACTTTACTGGCTTCTATGTAAACTGTGGGCAACAGTTAAACTTTGCATTTTACGGTTTATGTAAATGGGCAATATCTCCACTACAGTTCATAAATGGTTTAGAGACTCACATTTAAAAATTACAACTGATGTCGACATGCGCATTCTGACTGTACTTTATAAACCAAGCTGCAAAAACGACAACAGAGCCCAGCTTTCCACCACATACAGTGCTTGCAAGCAAGTTGAAGAGGTTTGAAAAACAAACAGAAAAGCTTAAAACCCATCTTACTACAGAGCAAATGAAGAAGTATCAACTTAAATGCTTTAATATAAATGTTTAGTTTCAAACATTCAGTTCCAGATGTTTCACTTACCCTCATTTCAAAGCACTTTTAAATATTATTGGGTCTTAGACTAAGGCATTCTTTTCTTGGAAGAACACTAACCGCACTTAC